GATCTCCTGAACTCAGTCATCCAAAATATTTCTCTGAACTGAAAGCTCATTGTCCGTTACCACCTGAAATATCAGTAGGATCTCTACTCAGCATAAAAATCTGTAAATGTTCGAAAATAATAAAGAAATATATATTTATCTGTATATGCACGTTCATCAGCATCATCTGGTAGTTCTGTATTACTGAGCTTTTCGAAGCTCACTCTATTACTCACATTTTCAGGTTAAAAGAATTGTACCAGTGCATCTATCGACTTCAGTAAGGGAGTTCTTCCGGCGTTGTTGCAGAGTATGGTGCATGTGATTAGGGGGCATGCAATTGTATTTTGATTTATATACGAGTTTGAAAATCTGTTTTATTTTTAAATAGTGAAAACTGATTTTATAAGTTTACATGTTCTGATAAAAAGTTTTAAATTTTCCGCTATAATTACAGTGGGTCGCTCCGGTGGCCCTAATGTGACACCCCGGATCGGATCGGGTTACCCTTATCGGTCTGTGGGGGTTACAAAGCCACCTGTCATGTAGATTAACTCTTTCCTCTCAAATCTTGAAGCATGTACTCAAATGTTTGAGGTAATAATTCGTAATCTGAGCGTCAAATGTAATACTTACTGTTAAGTTTCCATAAAATATAAAAATGATTGAGAAATGAAATTAAGTATTGTGACATACCCATGCGCACAAGTAATTGGCGGTCATCATTTTTCTTGAACTTTCTATGTTATTTTGCAGTAATATATCGGATACAGTACTGATGTTGGACATAGGGTGGCTGCCACATTGGACCCAAAGATTCCATTGCTGCTTTGATCCCATCTCTGTGATCTAAAATGACACAGATTTTTTCCCTTATGACAACATGTAATCGTAAGTTTTTGGGAGAAAATTCCAAGAATCTGTATCTTCTCCTTTAACAAGGGCAAAAACAACTGAAAGAATGTTGTGATTACCATCTTGGACAACTACCAATAACAAAAATTGCTTTTATTTTTCATACAAGAATGTCCCATCAATTTGAACCATGAGCTTACAGTATTTCACAGCATTAATTCACTGTGGGTAAGTCCTAAAAAGCCAGTAGAATTGGCATCGATCGCGAAGCACTCAATCATTGTGGTATGCATGGCAAGTTTCAAAGTTGACTATTGCCCCAAGATTTAGTCTGCGTACTACCCTAACCAACTTTGTAGTTCGTTGTAAGATGAATCCCACTCGTTGAGAAGTTTTTTAATTGCATTATACTTTGCCTTTCGTGCTTTCCTATAGGATACGATGTACCCATATTAAGATTGTACAGTTGAAATCAACACCACAATAGCTATATGAGAGCTTGCTTTGATTATGGGCACGATGGCTTGACAGATAATATCAAAGTCCAAGTTGGGATGGTCATGGTTGATTCCTCTATCACAACATGCATGAGGATATTTGTACATTGTTAGTTCCTATATATTATTTTTCCTCTTCCTCTTTGATACACGAACCATCCATTTGCATCCATTATCATGTTAAACACAGTAGCAAACATATTTTTCGGTGGTGGATCGATCAACTCTAGAGTGAATAGAATTACGAATGTTGTAATTCTTAATTACAATATTCACTTCTTCTTTGGATGGAAACTCCATTTCCATATATAACTCACTATCATTGACTGGTGATTTAAATATGTAGTCACCAACATTAGGCATATTCGTAAAGTTTGGCCCATACATTGCACCATAGTCAGCTTCATACATGTATGCTAGAGGTTTCAAGCGTACCATATTTTTTGGAACTTCATCTACATCATCATCATTGGAGTCTATGTTGAACTGCGGTGATTCTGGCTCAACGAATAGTCCAACCTTAGCACCATCCGCACCTGTCTCACGAAGAGGTTCTTCTGGTAGAGATTAGGGTTCCTCTATGATATCGATATTTAGGTCTAACAAGCTAGTAATTGAATGTATTCCCCTTGAACTTGAAGGCATCGTGGCATACGGGTTTTGAACTGAGTGTTGTGTCGTGACATCTCCACATTGAGGTCGAATAAGCTCACAATTGAATGCCTCCACCTGGAACTTGAAGTCATCATGTCAAATGAGTACTGAACATATTGTTGTCTCGAGGGTATCTCCATATTTAGGTCAAATAAATTGGCAGATAAATGTCTTCCCCTTGAACTGGAAGCGATATTGCCATACAAATTGTTCGTGTAGCCACCTTGGTGGAGATCGTAATAAGTTGTTATAAATTTCTCCCCATTGAACTTGATGGGATGGTACCAGAATGTGGATTTCCCATTAATAAGTTAAAATCATTGCACATTACTTGAGTTTGGCTATCAACTTGATCAGCTTGTTGAGCCAGTCCATAGTGAGAGCATAATGACATACCACGAACCACATACACTTCAATAAATGTGGCATACATTTGTGTATCAGCGTCTGAATTTTGATTCTGAGCATCAACCATCATAGCAACAGCGTCATCGTTAGAGAGTTCGAACGATGTATAAGTTAACGAAAATAGTTTAGTTGGAAATCTGTACTGAAGTAAAGACAATCTTCTAGTACTTCCAGCATGAACCTTCCTTGAAATTTTAGTGATCAGCTCCTCAAGAGTAATGTTTCTCTTGAAGGATATTCTGACATAATGATTTGATACGAAGACAACTCCAATTTCATTTTCCCAAATTTCTCCATCATAGTAAACAATAGTTGAAATACGCCTTATTTTGAGAGATTGAAATATTGAGAGTCATATATCTGCAAAAACAATAGATGAAATACACCTAATTAAATAAAGAGTATACAAATTAAAATATAAAAGAATGCTAAAAAATCATAATAATTTAAATAATGCAATTTAATATTGTTATTGTATCGGTAAAATATCTCGAGATATGATCTCGCCTTCCATTTTACAACCACAAAAAATAATATAAAATAATTAGTACAATAAAATTTGGTCAAATAATTAAATATAAAATAAATATAATATAATAAAAATAATTTTACATTCTAAAAACTATAACAAAATCTACTTGACTTGATAGAAGAAATTGATAGAAGTAATAATGTGAAAGTAATTTTGGTGTGGTTTGATGTTTGCATTTGGGGTATTTATAGGGGAGAAGGATGGGTGAATAGCTGAGATTTAAGGCTCGGGTAATAATGGAGTGCGCAATAATTCAAGGTGAATAATGGAAGGCGCGCCTCATGATACGTGTCTTCCTGTAGGTGTCAGATTTTCCCACAAATGAGCGCTTCATGATCCGCGCCTTCTAACGTGGCGCCATCTCAGACAGAACCCTGCGAAGGCGCGCTTTCCACCATGGTGCCAGCTCGGACAGAACCCTACAAAGGTGTGCTTCATAACTGGGCTTTGTCAAAAAGGGTGTTAATTCGATAATATTTAGAGAAAGAATGTCTGATAGGTAATATTTCGTTGTTATGGTGATTTTTGGGTAAAAACGCCTAAATTCAAACCCAAAAACAAAAGAAAAGAAACAATTTAATTAACGGGCCAATATATAGCCGTTGGAATAACGGCTGCTTCCCCAGAGATTTTCCTTTTCTTTGAAGTAGTAGTAAGCAATTATAATCAATCTCAAACAGCTAAATTATCAGTTTTTCTTCCCCAATTTTTGTCTTCAAAGTTCCACTAACTAAATTATTTCCATTTTCTCTGCTTATATCTGCCACTCCCTGAGCAAGGTAGAACAACCAACCATCTTCAGATCTTCAAGGTATGGAATAAACCTATTTCTTAATTATAACTTCATTTTTCTGTATTAAAAGAGAAGATAAACTTTTAATTATTTATTTTGGGTGATTTTAAGGAAACACGTTACAAAAGGTTGGAAAATTTTATACTTCCTGTTGAATTAGAATGAACTTGCAGTTAGTTCATTTGTTTTGAATGTGAATGTTTTTATTTTAATCTTATTGTTGGGATTCTTTCTTGTGGGATTCTTTCTTGATTCTTAAGGTTTCATTGAACGAAGATGAATGATCTTATGACCAAATCGTTTATGAACTATGTGGATCTCAAGAAAGAGGTAATGAAAGATCTTGAAGCCGGACAGCACCATGATCTCGAAATGTCTTCGACAGCGAACACCATGGACGGAAACCTCGGTCTATTCCTCGAAGAAGCTGAGAAAGTGAAGCAAGAAATGGCTGTAATCCTTGAACTGTTGAGCAAGTTCCAAGAATCCAATGAAAGAGCAAATCACTCCACAAACCAGAGTCCTTGAAAGCTCTGCGGAACAAAATCAACAACGACATCGTCACCGTGCAGAAGAAGGCAAGGACTATCAAGTCTTAGCTCGAAGAAATGGACCGTGCCAATGCGGCGAATAAGCGTCTCTCGGGGTACAAAGAAGGCACATTGAATTACAGGACCAGGATCGCGGTCACGAATGGCTTGCGCAACAAGTTAAAGGAGCTGATGATGGATTTTCAGGGTTTGAGGCAGAGAATGATGGCCGAGTATAAGGAAACCGTGGGGAGAAGGTATTTCACGGTGACAGGAGAAAACCCGGACGAGGAAACCATTGAGAAGATCATTTCGGACGGCGGCGGCGAGGGGTTTCTTACTAGGGCGGTTCAAGAACACCGGCGAGGGAAGATGATGGAGACGGTTGTCAAAATTCAAGACAGGCACTCCGCCGCTAAGGAGATTGAGAAGAGTTTGCTGGAATTGCACCATGTGTTCCTCAGCATGGCGGTGATGGTGGAGGCGCAAGGTGAACAAATGGATGATATCGAACACCATGTGATGAATGCGAGCCATTACGTTAAAGATGGGGCTAAAGAGCTCAATAGCGCCAAGCAGTACCAAAGGAGTAGCAGGAAGTGTATGTGTATTGGGATTATTCTTTTGTTGTTGATTGTTCTTGTGATTATTGTTCCAATTGCTACTAGCTTCAGTAGTTCTTGAATTTGATGTTTTTGCAGAGCATTTAACGTTTTATTTGGAATCCTCATAGTTGTAAAGACAAAGGGCAATTTCCAAACCAAATAACAGCCAATTCCATTCAACCTATAAGAGCATAAAACTTTATTATTTCTCCCATAGGAGAAAAATCACATTCTCACGTCCATAAATCTATGTCAAAGATGGAATCATCCCAATCCCATTTGCTGCTGCTGCCGCCTTCATCCAACTGGCCAAACTGATGATCCGTGGCAGCCGCTGTGAAACCACCGGCAAGATCCTCCACTCCTGGGTGGCTGTCTTCTCCGTTAACAAGCTCCTGGCAGCATCGATCGACATCAATGTCATGAAGCGGCGTCCACACGATGGTTTTTTCTTCGGTTTTTGACTGGTTGTTCGGGGATACATGATCAGGCTTTCTAGGTTTCGTTGAGCCGTTTGTTGCTGCAATATTTGGAAGATAGGGTCTTACGAATTTTTCCATGTTTGTGGAGGCTTGATGTTCAGTCTGTCGAGCATTGACGAGCTTTTTACTGAGATGGCAATTCCAATAATTTTTCACGTCATTTGCTGTTCGTCCTGGGAGTCTCCCAGCAATTAACGACCACCTGATATCATCAACATTATCAACCACATGGACATGCAAGACGAACGTAAAATGAAAAAAAACGTACCTGTTACCGAGGAGATTGTGGAGCTTAATGATGAGATTGACTTCATCTTCTGCAAAACTCCCTCTTTTGATGTTTGGGCGTAGGTAGTTCAACCATCTCAATCTGCAGCTCTTCCGGCACCTGTTTAGCCCTAATCAAACACCAAATTAACCCTTCATATCAAACCTTCATACAATCATTTTTTTCGATTTAAAAAAATCCGAAATATTTTGAAGAATAAAAAAATACCGGCCAAAACAGCTATGCGGTGCCACTTGCCTTCACCATATCGCTCCACGCATCTCTTGAGCAAATTATCTTCTTCTTCGCTCCAAGCAACCCCTCCCATACCAACTCTCTCCCCCTCTTTCTAATTTTCCTTCACCGTTTTCAACCTCACAAGCTTCCATGTTTATTCATTATGCATATACTGTACTTCATTTTCACTGGCTCTGAAATCGACGTTGTCCAATTATTACAGGCTTTACAACATTTGGGAAATGGTCCCTTCCCCTTCGTAGGATTGTCCTGTTGTTCCCTGAATTACAATGAAGCATCATCATCATAGCTGTGGGCTCTAATTAAATAGCAATCAATATTTTACTCTCATTTATCCTAGATTGCGTTCTAGATTTTCTTTTTCTTTTTTGGGATTTTTTTTATTTAACCCTCCATTCTCGGTTAAAAGAACATTAAATGTTATAGGGTTTGAGTTTCTTTTGTTATTGCAATGGTCCAACCCATTAAAGAGTAACTACAAACCTGCATGCATTGATTTTGTTTTAGTAACAGAATGCTACGAGCTTTGTAATATTTGACTCGAATAATTTATAAAATTTATTTTCTATACATCTCTTAGGTTAAAGTGATTAAATTTAAAGTTGAGTATACAAATAAGGATAAATTATAAATTTCATCACTCAACTTTCATTTTATTTTTAATTTGGTCACTGAAGTTTATAAATTTTCAATTTACTCACCAAATGTTCGATTTACTCATATTTTGGTCACTAATTTATTAAATCATAAATGGAAGGGTGACATGGCAGCTAAGTGTGCTTACGTGGACTATTTTTTATTGACATGAAATCCATGTGCCATCTATATCATTTCCCATTTTAATTTTATTTTATCTTATTCCTCCAAAAATAAAAGTTTTATAGTTTCATTCATATGTCACATCAATGTTGCAATTACCTTTCTTGACATTTTATTTGATCAATTAAGATATCGATAAACTTGTCTCATTATCTCATATGACAATATCAAATCAGATTTTACCTAAATCACTTTGAAACTTAATCCTAAACTCATGAAATCCTAAATCACTATGATACATGATATCCGTCATCTGATAAACATAGAACCAATATATAAGTTTTTTTCCTCCTTCTCCACCCTGACTATTGAAATTTGGAAAAAAGATAATAATCATCAAGAAATCAAATGAAATTTGAAACTAAGGTTTTTTTTTTCATAAAAAATAAAGAAAGTTGTTATTACCCTATAGGAGAAGAAGAATAATCGAAGAGAATAGAGATTAAGGAGAATAGAAAAAATAGAGATTAAGGAGAGAAAAGAAAGAGATTCAAAGAAGTTCATAATTCATTCATTCATCAGATGAATTTCTCCTAGTACATAGTTTTATATAATTACGGTGTAATAAGGATAACGTTTGCTTGACGGCTAGGACAGATTCTTCTCTTGGGCTTCCCATTGAATTACTGTTAGGCCTCTTTCCTCTAGCTTCATCTTATCTGCCAGCATATCACATGACTCATTTCCTTCTCCTTCAATTTCAGAATTTGTAATACATAATTCCCTTTTCTTCTCTTTTGCAATCCCTAATTCATTTTCTTAATCCCCAATGTCCTTCGCTTTGTGCTTCTCTTCTCCCCAAGCGTGACAAAAGTTATGAGAACTTTTCACAATTTTCAAAAGAAAAATATTCAATCATAAAATTATTGAGTATTTAACAATAGAGTGACCAAAATACAAATAAAATAAAATTCTGATAAGTAAATTATTTTTTTAAACTTTAGTGACCATAATAGAAGTAAGAAGAAGTTGAATGTTTAAACCTATAATTTACCCTAGCAATAATTCAATTTTTAAGTAGACATATTAACAAAGTCATACTTGTTTTAAGAGTTTTATTTTTTGGGTAAAATGAATCCACTGATTATATGGTGTGCTTTGTTGAGTCCCTCGAATATTAAAAGTTACAAAGAAATCACCTGACTATAGGCCATTATTTTTAGTCCCCCAACTATTAAAAGTTACAAAATGGTCACTATTGATATCCTTTTCTGTTAAAAATTGACAATAGTCTAAGTTGAACGTTAATTTGTTGATTGGGGTATGATAAAATTTGATATCATACTCTCAAACGATTATACAACTCAAATGATTACGAGATCATATTTTATCATATCTCAGTCAGTATGTTAATGTTCAACTTAGATGACCGTCAATTTTTAACATAAAAAGATGAGTTTGAAAAATTGAATAGTCGGTGACCATTTTGTAACTTTTAATAGTCAAGAGAGTCAACAAAACAATGCTCTATGGTTAAGAGACCATTTTATAACTTTTGATAGTCAGATAACTCAACAAAGTAACATCCTATAACCGGGAACCATTTGTATACTTTACCCTTCATTTTTTATCTAAAATTTAAAATTCAATTCAATTCAAATAATTAAATTAAATCAAACTGAATATAAATATTATTATTTAAATTAAAATAAAATAAAATTCAAATCTAAATCAAATCGACCGACTTCATTTTCAAATTTTGAAAATGTTTTCTCGATCTAGGCCAACATAGAACAGTGATATTAATTGGAACCTATGCTCTTTTATAGGAGCACACAGTTTTCGTATAAATGAAAAGTTTTGGTGAATCATGTCTTTATCAGATCTTTTATAACTTAATCGCCAGTTCTCCACAACCAACTCAATTTTATTTTATTTTATTTTATTTAAGATAAAAAAATATAACTAAAACCTGATATAAAACACAAAATAATTTACAAATTATTAACTTGTCAACAACTATATAACTAAAAAATAATTTAAATATGACTGATAGCATAAAAAATACTAGTGCATAATTAAATGCTATATAATCACACAAATGTTTAGGCATTATGTTGTTATTTATATACTTATTTAAGTATTTTTTTAATCATCGATATTTGATCTATTAATCAATTATTTGAGATTGGATTTTGTAGAAACCTATTATAGGGGTGACCATCTTGATCCAGTTTGCTCCGTTCGTAAACATCATGATTCAAACTCATGACCTTATATAAATTATTTAGTGTATCGTCTCACTAGACTAACTCGTTACTGATTATTTATATTATTATTTAATATATAGATCGTGTATAATTTATTTTACAAATTTATCAATTTTAATCTTAAACTTCAATATTTAAAATAATAAAGTTTAACCAACGGGGTTGGTTCAAGTGGTAAGCAATTTGATATCGCTTAAGCAAGGTCTCAGATTCGAGTCCTTGTGTATGCAGAAAATTTTCGTTGGGAGACTTACCCACCAAAGTTAGGTGTACAACTCGGGTTAATCCAGATTAGTCAGGACGAAGCCTTTGAACTGGAGGGCAACAAAAAAATAATCAAATTTAAAATTTAAATCTTACATCCAAATACTAAACTTTAAATTCTAAAATAAATGAACTTGTATAAATTAAAATTACTAATAGATAGTTTTTATTTTGGGTAAATTATACAGTTGGTCACTGATAGGTAGATTTTATTTTCATCATTGATGTATTAAAGATTATAAATCGTTCACTAACGTTATTTATTGTAATAAAATAGGCACTCACCGTTAACCGATGTTAAGAGCGTGACTGAAAACATACATGGCGCATTAAGTGTTGACATGGATTGTTGACCTCATATATTTGTTGACCGACGTTTGACCCTTTTTAGACCCGTTACTCCTCTCCAACCTCAGCCTATCCCATCTCTCCCTCCTAACCCCATCACGAGTCTTCGATTTCTTCAATGGTTTAGCTTCTTTATTTCCTTCTTTGTTAACCGGTAACCTTCCGCCATTTTTATCTTAATTTTCCCGACGGAACCTTTCACTAATCTCAAAAAATAACAAGATCAAACTCTCAAAGCCTTTTCTTCTCAACAAACCCCAACTCATTATCTCAACTCATACCGACTAACGACTGATTTGATGTGTTAAACATTATTTTCGTCTTCACATGAACTCGATGCCCACTGGGAAGAATGTCTTCAATGGTTCCTTGAGCTGAAAAGGAACGGATGGGTACAATCTTATTGCTCAACACAATGCTCCATGTAAGTAAACCAAGATTTTCACCTCTTCGGCGTTGAATAATCACTTGCTTCAGGATTCTTTGCTGATATCTTGTATTGAATCTCTTCAATGATCTTGTTTTACACTTCGGGATGCCTTGAAACCAGCCAAATAAACCAAGTAAGAGCCGAGCTTGTAGTGTCCTTCTCTTCAATCATCACATTCAAGATGTTCTCTCTAGAACTTAGAATTTTTATCACATTTAAAACCTGTTGACTTCTCTTTAGTTATGTATGATGTTAAAAAATCAACACCCTACAGTTCCAACTTATTTTATTAATCCTTAGTTAACTCTATCAAGTTCAAGTTATTTCCTGGCTTATATATTTAGCTATTACATCATCAAGAATTTGCCATGCTTTGTATTCTCTTGCCTAATTTTCAACCATTTTTTGCAAAATGATGAAGCTTTGAGGTCTCACATGTCGATAAAATAAAGCTTTTAAGACATCATCTAGGCCTTGGAGAAACGGACTTCAGGGAAGTCAATGGAGTGGCATTCGGGGTTGTTGCCGATAACTAAGATGCACATGAAATCAAATGTAAACCTTTGGAAAAATATTCCAAATCGACCACCGGGCTCCATTTAGTGACATGTTCGAGAACAGAAATTAGCCCATTTTCCACTTGGTTCGAGTAGCCATCGACAATAACCGGTGGAGTAGGATTAAGTTCGATCTTCTCGAGACCAGTAATGGCGGAAGGTATTATCGAGACTTGAGGTTATCAATGGAGGAAGTAGAGAAGCTAAACATGCATGTAAATAAATCAAAGAGGAGGTGGGGTTTTAAGAGAGAAGAGGAGGGAGAGACTGAGGTTGAAGAAGGAGGGGGAGTTGCAGTGGTGTGATGTTGGAGAGGAATAAAGGATCTTATTAAACACTGCTCAACAAATGTATGGGGCGTCAAATAGGTTGTCTTACATCGGTCAACAATCCATGTCAACACTCAACGCGGCAAGTATGTTTTCCGTCCTCTTAACCTCGGTTAACGGTGAGGGATCATTTTGTTA